AAGGCCGCGAGTTCTCGTAAGAAAGTTCGGAAACACTCTTCCTCCCCTGACCAATCCACGTATGGTCCGAGCCGGAGCAGAAATCGTGGCAATTTTGCTAGAGAAGGAACATATCCCTTCAGTAGGAGCGGAACTGTGAGCAGCTCACCCTCAGGGTTGATCTGCATGGAAAAATATTCGTCAAGCATTTCTCGACGCTCGATCAGACTGCGCGCTACGACTTCTGCCGCATTGGAAAATATTGCTTGAGTGTCATCGTCCGCCTCAGTGGGATGCGCCTGTTGCTCTGATTCAGCTGCGATGTTTAGAAGATCCACGAGCTTTGGTGGCGGGTCTAATTTGATGACTCCGAAGTTGCCAAAGTCTGTTAATCCAACTTGATAAAAGAACTCGTTGCAGGCGAGCCCATAGTCGACCAAGTAGAGTTTCACTCCGGATTGAACTGCCGCCAGGCGCCGTCGTTCATCTACAAGGCCGACATAGGTATGCGATGCGAACATCTCCGTTAATGTATTATGCATGGCAGCGCGAACTGAGCTGCGAAGAGCTTTGATGGAGGTGAGGGCGATGCGAAGGGGCTGACGATCAGTTGTTTCATATTGAAGGCCGTCATCCAATATAGAAGAGACCGAGGCACCAGCTTCAGCGGACGCCCCGAGATGAGAGGGAGATGATATAGGAGCTTGGGTGAGCATTGATGTGATTTTGCGGACTTTTGAATCCGTACGGACGAGGTTGTTCTCATATGGTCGTTTAGTTGCTGGTGTTTTGGGAGTGCTTGCGGTTTTGTTACTCGCAACACCTTCGCCAGATAGTGCACTTTCGGGGCCTGGTTGGATTGTTTCGATTTGAACCCCAGGTAACAAGGTTTGTGTTAGGAACGTTCGACTCTCATCAACCTGGGCGAGCTTGGATCTGATTTCACTGCACACCATCTCGATAATTTCTTCTTCATTTAGAAAGTTGACCTCTCGCTTCGTGGGATGAACGTTGACATCAACACGCTGAGGTTCAATTTCCAGATCAAGATAGATAAATGGGTGTCCGCCTTTCGGTAAGAAGGTAGAATAGGTCTGTTCAATCGCGCGTTTAACGGCCGTTGACTCCACTGCGCGATGGTTGATAAAGAGCAGTATGACAGTCTTTTTGACATGGTAGTTCGCATTAGTGGCAAGCCCAGAGGCTTGAAAACCAAGCTTCTTCTCAGCAATCTCAAATTCCACTAGTTCATTTGCAACAGCACTGCCGTGTATTTGACGGATCCGATCGACTGTGGTGGCACTTGATGGAGTTGATATGCTCACACCTGAATCGCCGTGTTTGCGACAGGAAAAGGCGACACCAGCGCAGTGCACTGCGTAGCGGCCGACCACGTCGAGTATCTTAGCGTACTCCTCACTTGAAGAGCGGAAAGCACGGCGTCGAGTGGGAATATTGTAGAAGAGGTCTTCAACCTATTGTAGCGGATGCCTTTAGACTCTGATAGTAAAAAAAGTTGTTGAAAGGTAATACTGACTGTTATCTGCGTCCCCCCACGTCCAGCAGTGGCTTTGGGGGCTGCATTCTGTCCAGGCTTCGCAGGAACTAGTTTTCCATCACCATAATGTGCACGCCAGGCACAACTTGACCCAGCGGTTTTGGTTGTGACCGTGAGATGGGCGATATGGCTTATACTGGCGAGAGCCTCGCCGCGAAAGCCGTATGTGCCAATGGAAGTAAGATCCTCGAATTCTTTTAATTTGGATGTGGTGAATCTCTCGCAAAGAATGGGAAGGTCCTCGCGCTATACAAGGTCAGAATGGCCATTATTGAGGTCGCAGGGAAGGGGTTGTCATCAGATCTCACATCAATTCCATGTCCATTATCCGTGATTTGAAGTAGTTTCAATCCTCCATCTTTGACTAGTACTTCGAGAGAGGTGGAGCCCGCATCGACGGCGTTTTCGATCAGCTCCTTCAACGCGTGCATCGGGGCAACTATGATCTCTCCGGCGGCGATTTTGTTGACGACATCGGGATCGAGGGCCTATGATATCGTAGGTTAGCATATCTGGAATGAAGCTGATCTTAGACCCTAAGTCGAGGCCTTTGGGTTTGGATGTCTCCCTACCTTGATCCGCTTTGGCCGGGCTGGCTCAGATAACTCGGTTTCCTCGACAGGGCGTTTAGTCCCCCTTTGGTCAGGGGAATCAACTTCCATCGCGCCATCCATTTCGTTCAATCTGCCCGGCGCGTGTGAGGTGTGAGTGACGTGAAGTTGAAGTGGAGTAGAAACGCGGAGCTCTACGATAAGGCGATAGCTAAACGCCCCCCCATTCCAATCGGAGCGCCCTCTCTTAAGGTTAACATCCCTTAAACATCCCTTCGCCTGCGGATGCATACAACTCAACTTGTTGCTTTCTTGGACTTGGAAACCAAGGCATATCCTTATGTTTAGAAATAGCCCTTCAGTGGTGTCTATGTTGACCCATCATGGCGCCCGCAAAGATGTCACTGCAGGCCGATGAGGAATTGGGCAAGAAAGATGACGACCATCGACTCTCTGAACCGGGGCGCTTTCGGCCCATACAAAGCTCAGCCATTCCTCGACCTCGGCGCATTGTGATTCTCATCATCGTGTGCGTGGTTGTGTATCAGTTCTTCAAGCACATGCCGACCGATCTGACCCCGGCAGCCGAGCGATACAATCCGACAACAACGAAACCCAGACCTCCGAGACCTGCATCGCCTGGAGGGTCATTCCAGTCCCCGGCAGTTCCAATAAATGAGAAAGGGAAGCTTTTTGATGGCAAAATACTCGAAACCCACGATGAGGAGGAACCGTATGGTGACAAGATAAAGTTCTACAATCTGGCCCAATCTCTTCCCAGCCAGAAATATTCCAAGGACCAAGCCAGCAATGCTGTGCTATTTGCAGGGTCGAACCTTCACAGTATTTCAGATTTATTGCCTTTGGCTTGTGAAATGGCAAGGACGAAGCTGAATGGAGTTCACTTAGTCTTGCTGGGCAGGGATGAGGTATCCATTGAAGGTATCAAACAAGTGAACGGAATCAGCGACTCAGAATGTCCTATGACATGGCATGGTTAGTCCTCCTTTCGGTGTATAGTCATATGTCCCCGCTGATCACTTCGTTTGCAAAGATGGTCGGCCAGACTCTCCAGCTCATTCTACCAATGTTCGTATGGAACGGGCGGTAGTTGATGGTCTTCATTTTATTCGGGATTTCATCGCCCCAGAAGTCATAATCACCCAGAGACAAGCCTGGGAAGATCCATTCTTTTGGAATGGATTAGAAATTCAAAAAGCCAGAAGTGGTACTCCTCATCTCATACTTCCAACTCCTTCCAGGGATTTGATGTGGGTCGCATCTCTTCGAAGCCACGCTCTGCAAGGTAAATATATGTATTCCTATTGACTGTGATTTCCCATCAGAGCCTGAAAATACTAACGTGATGGCTTATAATAGCATGGAACGAAATTCAGGTTGACATGATTGTTCATGCCTCCCAGTCATCGGGAGCTCTCGTTAGGCTCGTCCGCTCGTTAGATGCGGCGGATTATCTGGGAACCATACCTAGACTCACAATCGAACTCCCTCCACTGGTTGAATCTCAGGTACTAGAGAGCCTGCAATCTCTCAAGCTATCGCAACTTCAGGGACGGATCACCCTCCGCCGGCGTCTTGAACCTCGCTACATGGATCCTGCTGATTCCGCTTTGCGAACCGTGGAAAGCTTTTACCCATTGAATCCAAGCACCACACATCTCCTTCTTCTGTCTTCCCAAACAGAACTAGCCCCTTCATTCTACCATTACCTGAAATACAGCGTCTTGCGCTACAAGCAGCCAGTTCGGGATCGTTCAGCGTCCTCGAACCTCCTAGGAATTTCCCTTGAATTGCCTAGATCCAAGCCATCGCCCGGCGATGCTCCGTTTACACCACCGCCACCACCACCCTTCGATAACGGGAAATATCAAAAGAAAGAGCACATTCCATCGCTACTATGGCAAGCTCCAAACAGCAATGCAGCCTTGTACTTCGGTGATAAATGGGTCGAGTTTCACTCCTTCCTTTCAAGTCGCCTTGACTCGGAAGGCAGGGCCAATGCAGCCTCAAAGAACAAGTTAGTTTCTAAAAAAATACCCAGCATTCATGGAATACCTCCTGGAGATGATGCAGGACAAGGGATATTACATGATCTATCCTGCATTTCCAAGTGGTACCACCTCCCCTTGGCAACCGTGCACACTGAGTTGAACCGACTCCCCAAAGAGTTCACAGAATCTATTGACTCTGTCCAACTCGGAGAGGGGTCTCATGAGAAGGCTGGTGGTGATAATAAAGCCCCAGAAGTGCCTGGATTTGATCAATTGGAAGCATCGTCCGCTGAAAAGCCAGTGGGTCGAGAAGCTAGCATCACCTCCCTGCTTGGTACCTTCGAGTTGGGTCTTCCCGATGTCGACGTGCTACCTCTCTTATCATATGATGGGTCACCCTTGGCTTCCGAGGAACATACCACTAGATCAAAAACCTTCATCGGCCGGTCCTGAGCTGGTCTTATCTCAGAGCAACATTGGAAGGGTTGATAAATGCATCGAAATTGGATCTGATCTATTGGTTCTTGGATATTCTTTTTGGTTATAACGATCTACTGTACCTCTCAGTATCATATGAGAGTACATTTAAGTATAATTTCCAATAAATAAACCAGTATACATGAAGTTCATGAAATTCTCCAAGTGAAGCCTGGCTGGAAGGTGCTAGAGGAAAGCAATGACGAAGGCTTGGCATTTATTATGTAATCATGGATCCGGGAGCTGCAACAGCCCGAGCTCGATGGCTCCGTCGCCAGCTAACAACTGCATCACTCGCCATCTGCAGAACCCTCTTTACTTCCTTCCACATTCGTGCGACCGCATACTTGAACCTCTCACACCCGAGCTTTCGTCGCGTTCTTTTGATTCCACACCGACCTGGTCGCCAGATTACCGTCAGAAATGGCGAACGAGGGCGAACGGTCAACCGCCGCCGACAAGGGCAAGGGCAAGGTTGAGGATGTCAGCGAGCTGAATGGCAAGAAGCCTCAAAATGATGAGAAGGCAGCGCCAGATGGAAAGAAGAAGGATGATGAACCTCAGGAAGGTAGGTTGCGACTGCACCAGGCCACTGATGATCCACGAGCCAGACCGTGCGGTCTCCGGGTCATCCCCCCAACATTTGGGAGCCAAGGCTGACAATCTTGAAGATGAACTCAGTGAGGAGGACCAACAATTGAAGGATGAGCTGGAAATGCTCGTTGAGCGGTTAAAGGTGCGACAATGCTCTACCGATGGATCGGTCGGTGATGACGTTTGATGTTAACATTCGTTTACGATAGGAATCGGACACCTCCCTCTACGGACCTGCCGTGGAAGCTATCAAGAACTTCATCAAGACCTCTACGTCCTCAATGACAGCAGTGCCGAAGCCTCTGAAATTCCTTCGACCGCATTACGACGAATTGACAGAGATCTACGAGAAATGGGATGCAGGTGCTGTGAAGGTTAGTTTTTTGCAGACACAGAAATACTCCTCTAATATCATAGCTTGATTCTAACAATGAGCCTCTTTAGGATTCCCTGGCTGATACACTTTCGGTACTCGGCATGACCTACGGAGACGAGGAGAAGCTGGAGACGCTGAAATACCGTCTGTTGGCCAAGTCGGAGGATCTTGGGTCTTGGGGCCACGAATATATCAGACACCTGGCGCTGGAGATTGGACAGGAATACCAGAACCGGTTGAATGCAGAGAAGGAGACGCAAGATTTGGTGGATCTCGCTCTGTCGCTGGTTCCCTACTTTCTAAGCCACAACGCCGAGGCCGATGCAGTCGATCTTCTGAGTGAGATGGAAATCATCGGGGAAATCCCCCGGTTTGTTGACGAGAACACATATGCTCGTGTCTGCCTATACATGGTCAGCATGGTCAACCTGCTCACTTACCCCGAAGATCAGGAATTCCTCCGCACTGCACACGAGATTTATGTTCGCTACAACAAGCTTTCCCAAGCGATCGTTCTCGCCATCCGACTTAACGACATCGATCTCATCAAAAGCGACATCAATGCCACATCCGACAAGGCTCTCAAGAAGCAAATGGCATTCCTGGTCGCCCGTCAACAGATCTGGCTTGACCTGCCCGGAGAGGACGAGGAGGATGAGGCTCTTGCCGAGTGCCTGAACAACACATCTATCCCAAAGCACTTTAAGTCGCTTGGAAAGGAGCTCAACATTTTGGACCCCAAGATGCCTGAGGATATCTACAAGACACACCTGGAGAGCAGCCGTGGAGCAGGTCTTACCAACCTTGATTCGGCACGACACAACTTGGCGAGTTCCTTCGTCAACTCCTTTGCCAACGCCGGCTTCGGAAACGATAAGATGATGCTCGTCGAGGGAGAAAAGGGTCCATGGGTCTGGAAGACTAAAGACGACGGTATGCTTTCAACCACAGCTTCGTTGGGTATGCTTCTGCACCGTGATGTCGAGGATGGATTGGACAAGATCGACAAATTCACCTATGCGAACGAGGATCAGGTTAAGGCTGGTGCTTTGCTCGCAATTGGTATCTTGAACTCCGGCGTTCGTCTCGATTCCGACCCCGCACTTGCCCTCTTGAGTGATTCCGATAACCTTGAGGCTAAGAATATACCAATGAGAGTGGCATCTATCATGGGTTTGGGTCTGGCCTACGCCGGCTCCAACAAGGAGGAACTCCTTGAGGTCCTCTTGCCAATCGTGGAAGATGCTTCCCTTGATATGCAGCTTTCTGCTATGGCAGCAGTTTCGCTGGGTTTGATCTTTGTTGGATCTTCGAACCACCAGGTCAGCGAGGCCATTGCCACTACGCTCATGGATGAGGAGCGCCAGAAGCAACTGAAGGACAAGTGGACACGTTTCATGGCCCTTGGTCTGGCCCTCCTTTACTTCGGCCGCCAAGAGGAGGTTGATGTTATTCTTGACATTCTCAAGGCTGTTGATCACCCGATGGCCAAGCCAACATCAGTCCTTGCCTCGGTCTGTGCCTGGGCTGGTACTGGTACCGTGCTCAAGCTCCAAGAGCTCCTTCACATCTGTAATGATATTATCGAGGAAAAGGAGGAGAACAAGGGCGATGAGCTGGTTCAGTCTTACGCCGTGCTGGGTCTCTCACTTATTTCCATGGGCGAGGATGTTGGTCAAGACATGATCCTCCGCCAGTTTGGTCACCTTATGCACTACGGCTCTAGCAACATCCGACGAGCTGTTCCCCTGGCAATGGGCCTCATCAGCCCTAGCAACCCCCAGATGAAGGTCTACGACACCCTATCAAGATACAGTCACGACAATGACAATGACGTGGCTATCAACGCGATCTTCGCTATGGGTCTCTGCGGTGCGGGTACTAACAATGCCCGCCTGGCGCAGCTTTTGCGACAACTCGCCAGTTATTACCACCGTGATCAGAACTCTTTGTTCATGGTCCGCATTGCTCAGGGTCTCCTGCACATGGGTAAGGGTACCATGACCTTGAACCCCTTCCACACCGACCGACAGGTTCTTTCCCGTGTGTCGGCTGCTGGTCTGCTCACCGTCCTCATTTCCTTGATTGACGCCAAGCAATTTATTTTGGCCGAGCACCACTACCTGCTCTACTTCCTTATCACAGCGATGTTCCCTCGCTTCCTCATTACCCTCGACGAGGACCTGCAACCCCTCAGCGTCAACGTTCGTGTTGGTCAAGCTGTGGATGTTGTTGGCCAAGCGGGTCGTCCAAAGACTATCACCGGATGGCAGACACAAAGCACCCCTGTGCTTCTGTCCCATGGTGAGCGGGCTGAGCTGGAAGATGAGCAGTACATTCCTCTCAGCAACATCCTGGAGGGCCTGGTCATTCTGCGCAAGGTATGCTTTCTCTCCACCACTTAACTAAGTTACATATGACTAACCATATATCTAGAACCCTGACTGGCAAAGTCCCGAATAAACTAAACGAACTGTCCCCGACTCTTTATATCTCGTGACTAATCTAAGTCTTATGCAATGGTCGGGTTGTCGTTGGATCTAATGTATTCAAGAACGATTGAGGAATATTATGGACTCTTTTTTCTCCCCTGTTGCATTTTATTTATCAGGAAATTAGGCCGCGTTTGGAATTCCGGACATCTTATGTATGGTAGACTACGACTTTCGTCATTGAGGTCAAGCTGGTCTAGTGTCGCTCATCTGATACTAGGCCTAGCGATGCTCTTCGAATAGATACCTGGGTAGATTTATATGGAATGGACTGCTTAGATATTTTAGTTCACGGAGCAGTCATGATTTTATCTCCTTTCCTTCGCTTATCATCTGTAGCTTTAGCATCCATAGTTCCATTTGGTAAGAACCTCCACCTTCGTTGTAGTTTTCAACTTGAAAGCTACCATCCCCTTGTGGTGGCTTGCGGTGTTGACGCTGCCAATGCATTCTTGGCCACAGCCGCCGCAAATAACTCGGCGGTTGGTTCAGGTGTCGATGTGACTGTGATCGTCTCGCGATCGAGTGCAACCATCGTCACGGGCGGAATATACCAATCGTTATCACAAACTGTCCAGCCGGGGTCTACTCCGCGGATCTCCTCCGGGAGCAGCAGCCAAGGACTATAATCGTCACGTATCATACTGCAGGTGTTGCTATCCCCCAACGGGCACTGCTGGCCACCGCGGAACTGTGGCCATGGGATTAAGGATTGTGTATAATTCCCAACTTCTTGTGCCGTGAACTCGGCAAAATTGAATGGATAGGCTGTTCCAATAGTCGGGTATTTGGCATTCCGATGATTGCGTACTGATGAGACGGTCTCTGGATTGACCGAGATGACAACGTCACTGTGGTCGACACCGCATTGAAATCCAGCATGGCCTCGCCGGTTACTCCAGGCGTAGATGGATGTAAAGGAAACGTAGATTGAGGGCGAGGTGAAAGTGGCGCCATTAACTACAGCTGTGCTCAGTCCTGATGCGGGTACGGTCGTTCCGTTCTGCAGACAGAGATCGCCATCGGCTGTAGAAATGGGCCAGTAGAATAGGGTCGCGCTATCTGGCAGGAAGTGACAGTTTGAGCAAGGGTTCGCTTCTGGGTACTCGCGATTGGTCTGGGGGCAGTCCGCAGGGCGAATAGGACTATTAGTATCGCCAGGCATAGAAGTAATGATCGAGTCTTCCCAGGAGCTTGACAAGCTAGAATATGTTTGCCAGATCGGGATACAATCACTGGTTTCGAGAGCGCAATCTGGAACCGGGGATGGCTCTCGATAAAGCGTCTCCGTATTAGTGTAGGTTGTATATCCAGTTATGCAGGGACCGGTTCCGGGGTAATATTGAGTGGCTGTTTCACGAGGGCCTAGGGCACGCGGAATACCATCACAAAGGGTGGTGAGAGGACCCGTATGGGTATCCGACCACGCCTCTGGGGATACAAAGGTGCGACAGGCGCCCTCGCTTGTACCGTAGGAACCGAGGGAGATGCTTGTGGCAGTTGGGCCTAGAGACCGGAGGCCCTCAGACCGACCAGCGTATTCGACCCATTCAGCGTTGCAGGAGACTGCAGATGCTTTCGGACCGGTAGTAGGTCCATAATAGTAATTAGTGGCCGTGGGCCAGAAAATCGATGTATTGAGGGTAATGAGCCATTGCTCACTAGTGGTTGCTTTTTCCATGTTAATTTGAAGTCCAGAAATGCTCGGATATCAAACTTACCTTCTTCCTGGCCAGCCGCCAGGCCAAAAAGAATTGTGAAGAACAGGTTTGACAACATACTTGTTTGCGAGTAGCCGGGCCCAGAATAAACCTCCGAGTCCGGAGGGTTTTTATATCTTCGGGGCTTCAAGTTCGGGAGAGATCCAGATCGCGTGTCCTAGATCAGGCTTCCTTTGCATACTCCACCACCTGCAGATACCTGCAGATATGCTGGAGAATCACACCTTGGCAGAGCTTCGGATTGGCCTCTATGTGAGACAATAGCTAGCATCGTGCATCAGGGTCCAGTGTTCAGAGGACATGTTTGAGAGTACCCTGTCGAAGTGGCCGTGCCGTATGCATTCCTCGTGTTGATGCGGGGCTCTTCGGCACCGGCCTTAGCATCAACCCACTTTGATCTATTCTCCGGTCGAGGTTCATCAAATGTAACGGACTTGTTGCCGCAAGTAGAAATTCAGGGTCTGGATGCCAAGATGGCTAGTGCATCACTCGAGGCTTTAGGGCTTATCCCGACGGGCCATGCTGCGTGTCAGCAGTAACCTATGGCCTTGAGAAATATGCGTTCACCATTTTCAGAAAATGAGTCGCAATGTCGCATCTTAAGAGCATGGTCATTCCGCTGAGTATTTCTTTCTTTTCCTCAGGAGATGGTCTGAAGCCTCGAAAGTCAACACAACGCAAGCATTCGACCGTGCAATGAATGACCTGCGCCCTTTTCGTAAGATTTTGTAGCGCGCCGTGCACAACAACCGTAACCACGGCTGCAACATCCATCTCGACCCGCGCAGTCTGTCACTAGCTCCTTTCGCATGTACCATTTGGGATCTTTTCGAATGAAGTCGTAGTTCTTTCTAACTTGAGCTGGAAGCATGGTCTCTGCTTCGTATAATTTGTGGGATAGATGACTGTGTCGATATTTGGCATCGTCAAGTATATGCTGCAACGCTTCGATGCCTTTCTGGTTGGGCTTGGTGACGTGTGGGCGGGGAGTCTTCGGAGACACGGCGATCTGGATACGTGATGAATTGTGAAGCAAAGGTGCTCGGTCACTGTAATGCCATGAGTATACTTAGGATCGGCATTTCCGTGAGGCTCAATCAAGGTCCCCAATGGTCGCCCGAAAGGGAAATAGGGCTTAGGGCTACGAGCTTATCTTTTTTTTTGGTCTCCGCATCCCATCCCATCGCGTCCATCAAGGTTGATGATCCAAAGTCCCGACCGGCGCATTTGTTTCGATTTTTATACTGAGTTTCGAGGCTGAGATCAGCCTCATAACCGCCCAACATGAAACTCGACGCAAAGATGATTCGTTACCTCACCTCTGAGGATTTCCGCGTCCTTCAAGGAGTACTTATCGCCCCCTCCACCCCGCCATGCCCGCGCCCCCCTGCTCTGTCATCTTCACAACTAACACGCTTCTTGTGCAATAGGTCGAAGCCGGAAGCCGGAACCACGAGGTTGTACCGACCCCTTTGATCACTCAACTGTCTGGCCTTCGGGGCGGCAGTGGCGTGCATCGCTCCATCTCGAACCTGGCCAAAACGAACCTGATCGCCAAGGTGAAAAATGCGAAATGTACAATCACACTTTCCTTCGCTAGCCAACGCCCTCAATAATAAATTGCTAATATTCCTTCCTGTTGACAGATGATGGCTATCGACTCACATACGGAGGACTCGACTACTTGGCTCTAAACGCGCATCAAAAGCAGAAGGTGGTGTACTCCGTTGGAAACCAAATTGGTGTTGGAAAGGAATCGGATATCGTCGTCGTCGCACACGAGAGCGGATCGCAGCGAATTCTCAAGATCCACCGTCTCGGTCGTATCTCGTTCCGAACCGTGAAGACCAACCGAGACTACCTTCGACACCGCAACGCCTCGTCCTGGATGTATATGTCGCGGCTGGCCGCGATGAAGGAGTTTGCCTTCATGAAAGCACTTCGGGAGAACGGATTCTCAGTGCCCGAGCCTATTGCCCAGAATCGCCACACTATTATCATGAGTTTGATCGACGCCTTTCCCCTCCGTCAAATTGCCGAAGTGCCCAACCCAGCATCATTATACTCAGAATTGATGGAAATCATTCTGGAACTGGCGCGCTTTGGTTTGATTCACGGTGACTTTAATGAGTTCAACATCCTGATCAAGGAGATTCCGATCCCCAACGCCGAAGGCAAGACACTTGATGACTCGGAACCGGCCACGGAAGAAAATATGCGACTAGAACCGGTTATTATCGATTTCCCGCAGATGGTTTCGATTGACCATGCTAATGCCGAAATGTACTTTGACCGCGACGTCAACTGCATCAAGCGCTATTTCAAGCGGAAGTTCCACTTCGAGAGCGATGTTCCAGGACCATTCTTCAAAGACGCAAGAAAGAAATTCATCAAGAATCCTGGCAAGCGCCTGGATGTAGAGGTTGAGGCCTCTGGCTTCTCGCGAAAGATGGCCCGTGAACTTGAGAAGTATATGCAGGACGTTGGCGCCAATGGTGATGGCGAAGATTCCGAAGGTGGTTCGGATGAAGATGAAGATGAGGATGAAGAGGAACAATCGGGCTCAGAAGTCGAAGTGAGTGCCGAGGATGCACAGTCAGATCAAGTCAGTGCCGAGGTGGAGGAAAGTTCCAAGCGCTTGGAGGGATTGCAGGTCTCGGGGTCATCGAGGCAATAGAAAAGCGACGGGATATGCAATAATGACCATGAGTTATGAATTTTTCTGTAAATTAGGCATTTGCATCTCTGAAAATTAAAGAACATATTATGCTAGTATCCTAGTTACATCTACTCCGTACTACAGTGACGGTTGGCCTGGTACTGGTAGATACCCATAGGAAAACCCTTGGATCATATGTACAATTATGTATAGTATGGATACCGCTGCCTTTTCGTATTGACACGCGATTTTTGACTTTCCGTATTCACCATAAATCGATAATTTGTCTACTCAGGTGAATACGCCTGGCTTGATGCTTAGTTGGAGTGTATGTTTGCTCTACGGCGGGCGGTGCGGCCACCCACGCAGTTCCGCCTCAGCGCAGCAAAAGATCGCCTGCGGCAAGTCGCTCCGACACTTCAACAACCATCCAATCCACAATGGTACGCAAGGCAATTGGCATACCCAAGCTGGGGTCAAGCGGCTTCCTGCCCCTGAACCAGCGGAAGCAGGTCTTCCTGTAAGTCACCATCGCAGAACGCCCACTGGTCAAATTTCTATCCTCTGGCGGCAGAGACATGATACACGAGGAGTCTTTCACAGATCTTCGGCACCACGACATGGATATGAAAAAGTATGCTAATCCGCTTTTTCACACAGTCCCGAATTCACAATCGCCCTCGTCCGAACTCCTTTCCTCTCTCCGCGTTATGCCCAATTCCGCGTCCCGCTCAACTTCAACAAGCTCGATCTCCGCGACTACCTCGAGCGTGTGTACGGCGTGGGCGTCGTCAGCGTCCGCAGTTACATTGAGCAACAACCTATCACCCGTATTGACCGCGACCAACGGAACTTTGGTGCATGGCGACGACCGCAATCCATCAAGCGCATGACCGTCGAACTGCGCGAGCCCTTCATCTGGCCCGAGGAGCCGACAGACTTCACCCGGTACGTAACAACACCCTTCCACATTTTCAACTTGGGTGTGGCGGAATTTTCGCTCCATTTATGTTGTCGTCTCGTTACTAATGCATTTCCGCGATCTGCAGCTGGGAGAAGGATTCCTGGGACGCTACCGAGAAACACCAGCAAAAGGTGCGCAAGGACAACGTCCAGAAGCCCAACGGGGCCGAGAAGCCGAATGAAGAATTGCGGAAGGCGTTCAAGGAACAGGCTAAGGAGTTAAATGCGGATAAGGAAACGTGGCGACCAACCTGGAAGGCCTTGGGTCTTAACTTCGCGCATAAGGAGATGGCCAAGGGCAGCAACGTCCCTGCTCCATCGTGGATGAAGAAGACACCATGATCGGGGAGAAAGGGCTTTTCCCTGGAATATCGGTGTTAGTGTGTTTTACTCCTTCCATCTTGCTATTGGGCCTTTGTATTATATTGTTGAATATCAGATAATAGAAATCTGGATGTCTTATACAGTATCTGGCCCGTGGGTAGAAGTCATCTCAGCGTGCATATAGACCCGAAAGCTTACAGAAGTAGGTAACAGGCAATTCCAGAGGCCTAATACTACTAGTAGTATGGTCCTTTGCGAGTGAGGCCTTTCAGGGTTAATTAGTAGCTACTAGTAGCTACTGCTGACTTGTTAAACTACCAGTTTTTCATTACAGAGCCCTGGAGACGCCAGGATAGTCGCTATAGACAGTGTATGGTCTGCTCTTTGGATCAGAGTGTCAAGTTCTAATAATGTTATTTGCGATATTCAATGATATGGACAAAGGAGATCTTGACTAGCATAACTGCATGGCATGAAAAGAAACAAAAATTGATTACAAACGCAGGAGCCAGTGCGGCCAAAATCACGCTATGCAAAAAAGCTGGAGTTGAGAGTGGCTTGGGGGCAGTCAGGTAATGATAAAGAATAAGAAGAGGTGAAAAGGATGGGGAAAAAAGACAGATGAAAACAAATCCGAAGATTTCTTGGCGGCTGCTACAGTCGGCTCTCGACGAAGTTCATGTGGTGCTGGCCAGGCCAGTGAGCGTCCGGCCAGATTTGGCGGAGTGCTTCCCAGATATGCCTGCGAATGGGAGTTAGAAAATAGTAAAACATTGGGGGTTCTCAACATGACTTACTGGACATAGATAATCTCCAGACCGTCGGTCACCTCCTTGGGGACATCCTTGACGTCCTTGCGGTTAGGATGTGGCAGTAGCACAGTCTTTACACCTGCACGATGAGCGCCGATAAGTTTCTCCTTAATTCCACCGACGGGCATGACCCGGCCCCGTAGAGAAACCTCGCCGGTCATAGCGATCTGAGGTGGAACGGCCTTGTTGGTGAAGAGAGAGATCAGTGCGACGGTGTGTGCTAGACCAGCCGAAGGGCCATCCTTCGGGATGGCGCCAGATGGGCAGTGAACGTGTAGGCTGCGGTTCTTCATAACATCCTCATTGGGGTCATGGGTAAGTCCCAGCTCGAACGAATGGGCTTTGACCCAGGTGAGGGCAACCTCGACAGACTCCTTAAGGACATCACCGAGCTTTCCAGTGAGCTGGACTCGGCCATTGCCGGGCATGTCAGCGACCTCGATGAACAAAATACTGCCCTGCCCGCCTGTGGAATAAGCAACCAGGCCAGTGACCACTCCAGGTCGGCCAGTCTTTTCAGCGATCTCCTCCTCGAATCTTTCAATTCCCAAGATATCTTCTAGATCTTCGACTGTGACAACAGGGTTGTATTCAGACAGACGATCGGCATCGCCAGCATCGGCAAATTGAACAGCCTTGTGACGGCAGATAGATCCAATCTCACGCTCCAGGTTACGCACGCCAGATTCGCGGGTGTAAGAGGTGATGGTCTTGTCAATGACTTCGTCAGAAAGATCGACCTGTCCCTGAGACAGACCATTGGAACGGATCTGCTTGGGAATCAGGTGCCGCTTGGCAATGTGTCGTTTCTCCACAGTAGTATATCCAGAAAGTGAGATGGTTTCCATGCGATCCAGCAATGGCGCGGGGATGGTCTCCAGTGAGTTTGCAGTAGCAATGAATAGGATCTTACTGAGATCAATCGGAATGTTGATATAGTGGTCAGTGAAAGAGTTATTTTGCTCAGGATCCAGAACCTCAAGCATGGCCGCAGATGGATCACCTTGGAAGTTAGCGCCTCCAACCTTGTCAATCTCGTCAAGCAAGAAGACTGGGTTGGCGACACCGACCTTCTTCAAGCCATTGACGACCAGACCAGGCATGGCGGCAACATAAGTCCGTCGGTGGCCGCGAATTTCTGCCTCATCGCGGACACCACCAAGTGAAATCCGATGGAACTTACGACCAAGCGAAGCGGCCACCGATCTCGCCAGGCTGGTCTTGCCAGTTCCGGGAGGACCAACGAGTAGTAGAATTGGTGACTTATCAGTCATACGCTTAGACTTGAGCACCTCCAATCGGGCCTCCAATGCGACCCTGTCAGCTTCCGAGAGCAGTGGAACATCTTTCTCAAGATCCCCAGCTGAAGATGCATCCAATTCGCTGGAGAGACCCTGGATCTGACGCTCGACGTCCTCATTGGTGGACTGCTTCAGGCGCAGGACAGCGAGGTACTCCAAGAGTCGCTTCTTGATCCTCTCCAGTCCGTAGTGATCATCGTCCAGCTGCTGTCGTGCATTTTTCAGTGTATCAGGGCCTAGTTGATCCGCAGTCACCTTGGTCCAGGGGATTTCTGCCAGGTTTTCAAGGTACGTACGGCAAACGCCGTATTCCGCGTTGGCTGGGTTCATCTTGCGCAAGCGCTTCAGCTCCTTGTCGGCCACCTTCTGGGCTTCAGGGCTAAGTTCGGCATCTTTAATACGTTGCTGCAGCTCATCAACTTCATTTGGCTCCTTCTCCTCGTTGTCGCCACCGCCACGGGCACCCGCAGTACCAGGTGGGTTCAAGCCCGAGAGGCCGGCCATCGCCCGTCTTGCTAGCAGTTCACGCTCGCGGGGATCGATTTGGTTCATTTCTGAGTTGGGAGGGAATGACGTCGTTGTAATAGAGGTGACCTTAACACTGCTCTTGATGTGTTGCGCCTGGCGGGTCAGAATCTCAACTACCCGCTCCAGTCGCTCCTTTACATCGAACGAAGACAAGATTCGCAACTTTTCTTCAAAGCTGCCATCAGATACATCTGCCATGAAATCGGCCAACTTTCCAGCTTGTCCAATCTCCGTCTTCGATATGTACAGCTCAAACTTTCGGGCAACAAGCGGCGATAGGCGGGTCGAGGCAGATGACAATAGAGAGGAGAGGCGCAGAAGGGTGAGAAGTTCGCGAGATAGTTGTCGGAGCTGCTGGAAGAGCTCAGCGGCTTCTGAGTCCCCGTGAATAGACGAAGCTATTAGCGGATAAAATGTTAGCTCGGGAAACTTGAGTTCACATGCGACGCTCGGAAAACTTACTGCTCTCGTCGTGAAGAACGACCTCTGCCTCAAAGAATGGTCGATCCTTAAGGATCTTCTTGACAGTAAACCGTTGAGAGCCCTGGACCAGAAGGAAAGGCTCGGCGTAAGCGCGGCGCTGAACCCCGATCACCTTGCCCATGGTACCGTAGCGAAAGAGGTCGTCTTTGCGCGCCTGGCCGGCATCAATCGAATCGTAATCATCCCTTCGAACCTCATCAGATTCATCACCTTCAAGCAGCTGTTGGCCATCACGACTCAGGAACGGTGAGCTGAGCGGAATACATCCGAAGGTGATGGAACTGCCATCGCGCTTCGAAGGACGATCGACCAGAGACGATAATAGATTGGTCAAGTCTGGTCGATTGGAGACCGGGATGCGAAGAGTCACTCCAGGGAGAAGAACAGAGCCCTTGGCCAAGGGAACGAGGGGAAGTTTGATTGTTCTACCACTGGATCCCATCTTGTTTTGTGCCGAGGGATTCAGGTAGTAGCAAGAAGGCGGCAATAGAGTCCAGTGAGTATAATGGAAGAGAGTGGGGGAGTATGGAAGAAGTAAGGTGTATCGAACAGGTATAATGAAAGGTGAGAGATGATCAGGGGGCGGGGGAGATGGGGAGATGGGGAG